TCAGTGACGGTTTTACTTGAACAAGTTTTAAATGAACCTTGTGCTGATTTTTTTTATTATTATTTATTTATTTTAAATTGAATTTAAACTGAAGTTATTTTAAAATGCTTGTGCAGCTTTTTGTTTGTTTGTTTGTTTACGGGTACACTGACGTCACCACCTACTATACAGAACTGCTGGGTCCGTCTCCACCGAACCACAAGCACACTTCTGGCTGTTGGTTTTCTCTCAGGCCCGGACTGACGCGCTGTTCACGGTGGAAGCAGCGCGGAGAGAAAACGGCCGAGCTGCCGGTTTGCTGCTCCGCGCTCCTCCACGCTGCGGCAGCTTCTGCCTCCATCACCTGGAGAAGCTCCACACCTGCTTCCTGCCACTCAGCCGCGTCTTTCAACGAGACCTAATGCAAAAAAATAAAATAAAAAAATAATAAAAATAATAATAATAATTCTGCGGAACACTTTTCAGTCTTAAAATGCCTAAAACTGGTTTTCTAAATGAAACGAGCGAAATAAAAACAGACTCCAGGACACTTTATCTAAAAACTAACGACGCGCAGTCTGACTGTCATCAAGTACTAGAAACTCACTGGAGGATAAAGACACTCCATGTATATTTAAAGGCAACCAGGATTCAGAATTCTTGCTGCACCAACGCTCTGGTTCTGTCTGCAGTCACGTATCTGAACGCTCCATTGTTTTTATGTTCAGTCACAACATGCAGGAAGCTTAAACATTAAGTCACACATGTTTAACTGTTGTGCGTTTCTGTAGAAATTTGCAGTTAATTTAAGATTCAACCTGTGAGTGTGGCGCATGAAGCGATCCATCCTAGCACAGCTTACAGCTCTGTGAGTTACAGCGGCAGAAGAATTCATTCCAAACAGCTCCAGGCGAAGCGGCGACCTCGTCCCACATAAATTCAAAACCATAAGCAGGTAGTGAAATGATTACGCAAATATCGTGGCTCAGAAGTGCCGTGAAAACCTTCCTGAGGCCCTTTGAACCGAAGCCATATTTCTCAAATCCTAAGACCTCCAAATCCCTTCTATAAATCCCCTTTACGCTTCCTTCAGTCAGACGGTGGGAGAGCGGGACAAACTAAAAGCTCACATAAATCCACTCTGAGACGTGTGCAAGCGGCTACAATTATACTAATAATCGTTTTACTTAAAAAAAATGGAAACACTGCTGGTATGTTATGATTTGTAATACTTTTATAGCAACGATAAACCTTTTTCATGCATTTGGCAGCGATGGTTCGTCTTTAAATGTGCCCAAAAGTCTGTGTAAAGCTCAACATTTTTACTCTGGAGTTCATTATCAGGACTTACAGCAAGTATCCAAATCATGACGCTTTTTACGCACCAACGTTTTTTTTTCTATTGTCACAATAACTTCAATTTACTTCTCATATTTGTGTTTAATGCAGAGGTATTAATAGTCATCCTAAGAACTGCATTTAATTAAACAGCAATGATCTAAATTAGTCGGCAGTTGTTTTGCATCAGGACGCCTTCCCCACGCGTCTTTACGCACGGCACAAACATGTCTGTTCAAGTGATTTAATTTTGTTTCTGGGGTCATAAAGATAATGTCACTCTTTGTGGAGACCTCAGGACATCAGAGACTTGAGTTTGACATAATGCAGCTGCACGAGGCAGGGCGGCGCGCACAGGAAGCTGAACCGAATCAGCTCATGCTCTTCTCGTGCCACAGCTCGAGCCTCATAAAAATATTTTTTCTTTGACTGACAATCCCCAACAAGTCTATTCTGCTCGCTTTTTTTCTCTTGTCCCATCACGTGATCATCCGGTCTCATCCAATGGACACACGCCCTCCCTCCTCCTCTGGTCCCGGGGGCTTGTTGCGTCAAGGCTGCGGCTGGGATGTAACCGGAGGTCCGGCCGGTTACCGAGAGTCTTTGCCTTCGAGCGAGCACCGTCACTAAACGGTGCAGCACAGGGGCGCACGCGTGCTATGACAGTGCGCGTTACGGTGCAAGCAAATCACCTGAACTGTGAGCGTTCAGGAGAAGCAGCGGTCCCAGAAGACTAGCAGTCCACCTCCATCAGCCAATGTAGCAGCTTAGCGCCTGAACCGGACAGAGTTTGAGAGGAAACGGCGACTAACGGAGGCCAGACCGGGAAAGGAGCGCATATGACAGCCTCTCTGGTCCTAAACCCTCGCTGGCCAGCGGAAACGGTAATGTTTGTGTATGACAACAACCTGGACGATCTGAACAAGAACATGGAGGGGCTGGTGGGAAGCGGCAACTTCGCTGCCGCCACTGCGGCGAGTCAGTGCCGCAACATCATGGCGCACTCGGCGGCTGCCGCTGCTCTTGGTGGTCACCCGTCCGGGCTGGTGCACTCTTCAGCTGGCTACTCCACTGTGGACGTGTCCGCTTCAGGTTCCAGTGACACGGCCGCGTCTTCGGGGAAGCAGTGCGCGGCAGGACCGTGTCCGGCGGCTGCCGTGCCGCACCAGAGCTCCTCCGCCGCCACCGCGTTGCCCTACAGCTACTTTGGTAACGGTTACTACCCGTGCAGGATGGGTCGGGGTTCTCTCAAGTCGTGCACCCAGGCGGCCGGAGCCGCGCTCAGCTCGCAGTATATGGACACGACGGTGAGTTCTGACGAATATCCGAACCACCGGGCCAAGGAGTTCGCCTTTTACCACGGCTACCCCAGCCCGTACCAGTCGATGGCCAGCTACCTGGATGTGTCGGTGGTCCAAACGCTGGGCACCGGGGAGCCGCGCCACGACACTCTGCTCCCCATGGACAGCTACCAGCCCTGGGCTCTGACCAACGGCTGGGGGGGACAGATGTACTGCTCCAAGGACCAGGGCCAGGCCGGACACCTCTGGAAATCCGCTCTGGCAGGTAACAAATGTTCCTTTTATTTTTTTGCATGAGGACCTTTGAACAGTGGAGCATGGAGGCCTACAGCCAGACACCATTTAGCGATGTGAGACTTATTATTAAGGAGTTATAGACTTTCCCTTTTAACTGCCCCAAGAAATGTGATATGATGAATCATGTCCTCCAATAATTAAATACAGGCTTCATAAATTAGGACTAAAGCTACATAATTAATATGACAGCTCTTTCTGCCAGAGACAAAGCGATGTGCTCAAGGCAGAGACTTGTGGCTGCTGTTAATCAAACCTTAAACAATCCCATCTGGTTTCAGGGCGTTTTGTGCAACTGAAAGCTGCAAGTAACAAACAAACTGGTGGAGCCACCGAGTTATGACAGTGATGTCAATATAAGGCAGGAATGAACTCTGTATTCTCATCTGTTGACTGCAGAGGACGGCTGAGGAGGACAAGTGTGTGATCTGCTTTCTGCTCCATCGAGCTTCAGGCCGTTTATTAAGCTAAAGGTCACGTGTTGTGGGTGCAGAGTGACCTCTGTGTTAATCTAATGATCGTCTCATTATTGGCTGTCTGATGGTGTTAATGTTGGATGTAAAAGTTGCCATAAAATAATTTGAATAAGTAGCCTGTGAGTCCAGAGAGCTCTGAGCTGGTTGGAGTGTGTGAATGTGAAGAAGGCCGCTGTGACAGGTCTCCACATGACAGCCCGCATCAGTCCTCATGTATCTGTCACACACAGGACAAAAAAAAAAAACAAAAAAAAACGAAAAAAAAAACACAGGACCAAAAAAAAAGCAGAAAATAAACAACAACAAAAAAACAACCAAAAGAAAAAAAGCATCCTAGATGCAGAGGGAGCGCAGAGGTTTCCACTCTGCTGCAGTTTCTCTGATGCAGATGAAACATGTGCAGCTCTTCTGAGGACCACGGCGCAGGTCAGCCTGAACTTGAGCGTCATTGTCACGCTGCCTGCAGACAGCACGCGGCCACCATGTTTCCTCCCATGTGGCGCAGGATGGAGGTCCGATCCGCTCCGAGCGGAGAGCCGCTGTCCTCTCCCTCATTCAGATCACAGGCACTAAACGCAGCACAGCCAGAGCTCTGGTCCGCTCGGACAGAACCGAGTCGTGTTTCAGTGTGTCCCGGTGTGTGCAGCCTCGCCCTCAGCCCGCCTGTCTGTCCTCTTCTCTTTGTCAGATGTGGTGGCGCACCAGCACGACGGCTCGCCTTTCCGCCGCGGCAGGAAGAAGCGGATACCGTACACCAAGGTCCAGCTGAAAGAGCTGGAGAAGGAGTACGCCGCCAACAAGTTCATCACCAAGGACAAGAGGAGGAAGATCTCGGCCGTGACCAACCTGTCGGAGCGTCAGATCACCATCTGGTTCCAGAACCGGAGGGTGAAGGAGAAGAAGTTCGTGGCCAAAGTGAAGAGCAGCGTACCGTAGCATGCCGGTCCCTGCTGTGTGGACGTTTCACTGACTGGACTTCTTGGTGTATTTGCCGTGTTTGTACGTTAAACTGAACTGAGCGGTACTCCTGACGGACTGTGTGCGTCAACAAACGGAACAAAACGAAGACTGATGAAGGAAAATAAGACTAAAGAAAAGAACCAAAGCCCTCTGCTGAGCTGCTGCCCAGAGGGTTGTGTACATACAGCACCTTCCTGCCTGCTTCATGTAACTGTCTGTCCACTGTGTGTCTGACTGTGTCCGTGTCGTCCGTGCTCAGCAGCCTGTAGCCGCAGCACACTATACTCTGTCCATCCTGTTTATATCGCCTGTAAACCAGTACTCACATATAGCGCAACACTTAATAAATTCTTTTAATCCTGATTTAGTCTCCAGTAGGTCTCATATGTTTTTAAATCACCAGCAGCTTTTTCAAACCGGAGCTCTTTTTGCGCGTAATGTGTCCCCGCGGCAGAGGACGCCCATAAAATGTGCAAACAAACCCGCATTTAGCGCACATCACAGCCTGAAACCGATACGTGGACAAACAGCAGAGGAACTCAGAGTCAGCGTGCAGATTCAACGTGTTTATGGGACTGTGAATTCATCTGTGAATCAGGCCTCCTGTCGCCACGGCGCTGCCATCCGCGTCCTGTTGTCACCCCGCGGTCCGGCCCGGGAGCTGAACGACCCAACAATTCATCAGACTTATTTCTGTGCTGCGCTCACGAGTGACAGAACCGAACCGAAAGAAAAGGATTTTTACAGGATGAGTAGAAAATGTCTTTACTGTGGGTTTAGTTTGTAAATGATTCAGGTTTAGAGTCACAATAATTCACATCAGTCCTGTTCAGCAGATTCCATCAGAGACAGAAACAGAGAAATAGATTCTAATATTAGTTCAGGTATTTAAAAAATAAAGAAGCAGATCAGTAAATATTTAAACTAAATTCACATTAAAATAAACATTATTTCAATTAAAACCTACATAATTATAATACTTTAATTATTGTAAGAGTTTATTTCTGTTGCAGAAAATTGCAGCTTTTGCCAGAAAATGACCATAAAGGCTGAGAGGGTTTTATTTGTTAGGAGTTTTATTTGTTTGGAGTTTTATTTGTTTGGAGTTTGAGCAGAAATCTGCACCTCATCCTGAAAATACCAAATTAAATGTAAACCACCAGGATGTGTCTCCCAAAGGCTGGTTTAGGATAAATACTTTAATCTATGCTCATATCAGTACTAATGATTGTATCACAGCTGGACTTAAAAAAACGACAAAATAACTGAACTGAAGGTTGTTTTTAAATTTAAACGTCTCTGGACGCAGAACAGAAAAGACTTGAAACTGCTATTGTCTGTGCGTCCTGCCTGTGCATATCCTTTCAGCCTGCAGCCTGTGTGTGTGTGTGTGTGTGTGTGTGTGTGTGTGTGTGTGTGTGTGTGTCAGACAGAAGAAGCCCTTGACCTTGAGAGTCACGTGACCAGCTATAGGCTCAGTCTCGAGTCTCCCGCGAATATTTTATGACAGCAGGACGTCTGATAGACACCCCCAACACACACACACACACACACACACACACACACACACACACACGCAGGCTGCTCCTCTCTCCCTTTCATCAGCAGGTTCTTGTCCACCATCGATCC